GGGCTACGCACAAAGACCAATTACCATATATACAAGAGCCAGGGTCTGCCTTCTTTCACCGTGTTTGCTCAAGCTTGGGCCGAGAATAACAGCTGAAAAGCTGGCTTAGAATCGCAATTTTTACACCGGCTATAGCCGCATCCAGGTACGAAAGGGTTAAGGGAAAACGTTCTTTAACAGACCTGGGATAAATTGACACTATGGTTTGTTTTACATGTACATGTTCACTTTTTTAAGGGAGTGTGGGTTTTACATAGAATGACACAAATGAACATTTTAATGAAAATGCAATAATTACGGCAAATAAAACAACACATGAAGTAGTTCACTGTTGGATGTTATACAACCACTGCTCACGAAAGTTTAGCCATTGTTTTGCTTACCGTTCTTTTCGGCAAAACTCGCAGCCTCCTCCTTAGTGCGAAATGACAGTGCTACATTGGAGAGTGGGTCAGCCCTGAATGAAAACAAATATTACAAGTTTCTTAGGTTATTTAAACTGTCTTTTGACAAGTAACGCTTTATGAGAGACAGTAAGGGGAAAATAAATACGAAAGTAAAGGGAGAGAAGGAGGTCAGTCAACAAAATGAACATGGACTCTCTTCGGGTACATGCAGACAGATACACGGGCATTGCCATGAAATCAGAATGACGTTTCCTGGGCATGATCAACAGGATTCCTTAAAAAAGATGAAGTGGACAGTGTACGCAGATTTGTTCTTCACAGGTGACAGCTCTTTCCAACAACACATTGCCTGCGTGCACTTTCTGTTCCATGTTATTCGGCCGGTACCTATGTCTTAGGTTTTAGTTTATTTTAATTTGTCTTAATATTCTGTACATACACATTCTTTTCTATTTATATGATACTATCCCATCCCTGTAAATGTTTTTTTAGCTCTTGGATGTGGTCAACAAAGAAATAAACAAATACAAGCAATGTTCCTTGGACCAGTGCATACCGCGTACTGGCCCAGGTTCATGCACGCTTAGCATAGCACGTGCTGAGCCCACACGTCCCATTTCTGTTCAAATGTCTTTACATGACCATCGGGTGCTTGATTAAACAGATGTAACCAGCATGTATCTCTAGACTTCGCCCCTGAGGAGAACTTCTGGTCAGAATGGGTATTTTAGATGTAGGATAGGCCATGACCAAATCACTCGACTGTGGCTTGAAATTATACACAACTCCAAAGGAAGTAATTGGAGCCACTACCACAGACTTGTGCGTAATCTCAAGCCAAAGCACAGGAGTCTGGACGAGAACTCGCTTACGTGGAAGCCCAGCCCATGAGGGGGTTCTCCCATCTCTCCCTGGTCTCAAACTCCAGCTTCCACTGGTGGGTGTTGTTGGTTCCCGACTGCATGGCATTCTTGGCTGGGATGAAGATGCGGACCTTGCGGGTTTTAATGTGCTCCTCCGGGATGCCTGAGACCGTGGTGAGGTCCATCTGATTAAATGATGTGTTAACCGGACGACGTCATTAAATGCATTAATGCAAATCTGCAGCTGGGAATTAAGCCTGCGGCTGTGTGCTTGGATGATCCAGTCTTCTACCAGCACTGTGTGAAACTTGGAGCCATTTTTTGAACTGACGTTGTCGCAAGTACCTTAATTTTCCCTTGCTGTAGGTTATCAGCTATCAGAAAGTGATAACATGTCCTCGAAAGTCAAATTAGTGAAATTATTGTTTCAAGGAAAAATGACCACAAAATTAATCAAAGCAAAGGAGGCCTAAAGCGAAATGTTCCTATTTTTCTTGTAAATTACCTGCTGCTACTGAAAGCAAAGTGTGACCATCACACGTCTATCATGTCTACGAAGATGCATAAATGAGAGAGGGCACTATTCATTTGGAATGTCATTTTCTCAATAGGACATTGTGATTAAAATTTATCTTTCACTGCATGCTGTAGCTCCTCTATTTCACATCCAATTTCAAACTTTTGGAAATTTCAAGCTTTACACTCAAAACAACAGTACATCCAGTTTTCTGACAAAATAATCAGTTTGCTTTGCATTGCACATGTACAAAAACATCCCAAAATGTCTCACAATATCCCCGCTTTAAATCATTGTCAATCAATTTAGACATTATTGGTGCGCACATTGCCACAGTATGCTGGCTGGTCAGCGTGTCACGCCTAAATATCTGCAAGGTTTAAACGTGTTCATGCTTTATTATTCAACTTGGCCCATGTTCCTTCGTGTTCCACATGTCAGTTCAACCATTTTCGGAGGCAGAGGGATGGCATCTTGCTTTTATTGCACAATCGTCCTTGCTGTGTCACTTGTAACCTGACACCATCAGGACGTGCAACGTGTGTTGCCCATGCCTGTGACAGATACATTTATTTATTTCTGTGAAACTGGAGTTACACAAAACATGCCTCTGAAAATTGTCAAACCAACATGCAGAGCAAGCTTAAAAAATGACCTGACGCATGCACAATATGATGAAAATAAATGGTGCAATAGTTGTCGGGTGGAAACAAGCGATTGGTGAGTAAAAATGTATGTTGCTCTCAGTCTCTCTACACAACTACACACAGGAAAATTTGACTGAAAAAGCAAAATTTGCATTACCAGACATTTATATGTTTACCGTAAAGGCTCAATTAAAAAACCACATGGCATTATGAACGGCATGTAAATAACAATGGTTCCAAGTCACACGTTAGGCGTATGAGCCATGGCCCACAATGTCCGACATTCTCGCGGTCGGGATGACGTCAATGATTCTTCTCTCCGATTGGCCAATTGGTGGCTATTCTTCCATAATCCACACTCGAACCTCAAGGACAATGGGGCAAAAATAGTGTTGCAGTCTAGACTATGGAGAAAATCTGAATTATTGACTAACACTGACTAAGTAAAACCTACATCAAATGTGCCAGAATTTTCACTATTTTAGTATTTATGAGCTATTATGAAAATCTCCCACACTGTACTGAAAAGATTTAAGTTATTTTTATCATGTTGCAGGAAAACATGCAAATCCTTGTACAAAGTGAATGGAGAGTTGCCCCTTTGCCATGTTTGCCCAACTATGGAAGTTGGAAAAACCTCCGACCGCGAGATTGTCCGGCACGTCCGGAAACTAGACAATATGAAGGCCCACAGGCCACACGTTTTCACACAGCAAAACTTACGCTCTTTTCCTTTAAAGTATCAACTCTTGTCTCTTGTACGCCCTCTTTTAATGTCCTCCATGGCGAAGTGCTGAGAAATCTGCAAAAAATATTAACATTCGATGATCTCGATGCACATCGACACAACGCCATGATTGCAATTTGTAGTGTTACTCGGCTGACCGTGGATATGTGCGACCAAATCACTTTGGCTGCGGCTAGGCTAGAAATTACACACGACTCTATGAGAGAACTGGCTAGAGCCACTGCCGCGGTACCGCTGCACGGCCGCCCTTTGGCGTTAGTGGTAAGATGCTGGGACGCCCTCTACGTCGTCAACATGTCGGCTGCGCGTGCGGTCCAGGTAAAATTCCTGCTAGATTTAACAGTTTACTCATTGTTTGCCTTACTGGCTTGCTCTGCATCTTAACAACAGGCAATGCAACGGTGAAAGGGACTCGCTTTCAGTGAAGTCGAAAGTTTTAAGCCGTTTGTCCTCTCAAAAGGCTGCCGCTTTTCAGCAATGTCGTATTCTGCGCTGGAAAGGGGGGGGGGGCCAGGATGGGGATCCCATAGGCGTGATGGGGAGTGCTAGTGGTGGGCATGGAAATTTGAAAACGGGGGATGACACCCATGACACCGGTGCTCATGATACAGATGTACAGAATCTTACATCAGAACAGCACAGGCTTATTTATGACATTGACATGTGAAAAGGCCTAGGCCTATGACTTTTTAAATTCTTTTCTGAGCAGACTGATGCATAAACTTCCATTGGTTGTTGCATGGTTGGGAGGTCAATCCAACCTTTCATAACCCTCTTCAATTTTTTTTACCACAGAGAAGAAAAGGGAGGGGGGCTAGGATATACAGGGTGTTTCAAAAAGTAGTCATTTAGAAAATTGTCTACAAAATAAAAGTCTCATTAGGCCTAGTTTCCAGAAATCTTTTATCAAAGTGACAACAAAAGTCAATGGTCCATTGAAATGAACACTGGACACACGAATTTCCAATGATCTGAACGTGCACATTGCTGTGAGTGTTACTTAAGAATGTTACTGTACATACATGTAAGAGGGTTTCATCCTGCTGGGTAATGCTGAGGGTCATCTTTACACTACTGATGTTGATTCTTTTGTAAATGCATGATGCAGCAATGATTCGATGTGCTGTTTACGACATTCGGAGGAGAGCTCAAGTGTGTGTGAGGAGAAATGGAGGCGCATGTGTGACATGAAACCCTCATGCACTTGTATGCCTGCATGGGGAACGATTCATTTCCTTGAACAGTTAACTTTTTGTGCTGTGCTGTTGTCATTTTGGTAATGAGGACCAATTTGGGTTAAAGTTTTGAGGAGGGCAAAGGGTTAAAGGAATTTGTTTGGGAATTTTGGGGAAACAAAGTACAGGCCCAAACTTTACAACAATGGTGTGTAATTGGTTTAACCCTTTAACCTCTGTGCGCAAGCCAATTCAAATTTGGAAAAAGTAAATCGCCCGTGCTTACTCATGCAGAATGTCTGATAATTGATGTAATGGAAAACAAAGCAAGAAACCAAGGTCTATCGATCCATGATTAAAGATTTCTAAACACTGATGTGACTAACTGTTCTAGTTCTAAGGCACACGCACACATAAGAATAAAACGTAACTGTAGAGAGAGCGCACTGCATGAACGCTTGATGAGAATGTTTTAATCTGTCTGATGTAAATTGTTTTTACTGTATTTGTGGGTTTTTTTTCAGAGCGTTCGACCTCATATACCACTGATCAAGTTCCGCTTTGTCAAAGGACCGTTGGGTATGATCCTGCTTTTAATGACTAGGGTGATAAGGCACTTTAAAATTAACTGTTGGGTTAACACCACTCAGACTGGAACAAAGTCAGTTGGGAGGGAACTTTACATTTTACATGTTAATACGGGAGATGTTATCATAAGCCGGGAGCCACAACAGTTATAGCGTGCTATGAGCAAGCATCACACATCAGTAGCCTTGTGTAGTTTTAAGTTGTGCCTACAAAACATCGTAGTGCTTGTGTGAACTCTGTGGGACTGTGCCTGTTAATTTGTTATGGAAAACTTAAACTGTAATATATTTAAAAAATAAGGCTGGACATGAAAATCCGGGTAATGTGACCCTGATAATTAATTTGAAAGGCCTAAAGAAAAATGTGACGTCCAACATATATCAATAAAATTTATAATATTTTCAGGCATAATAATAACACTTGTTGATCTGCTTTCAAAAATACATTTAATGGTGTACAAGTCGCATCTGTTTCAGAAACTGTCTGTTTGAAATTTAAAGAAGATGTTCTTTTAAACCTGTTGTAATAATATACAATATCAATATCTCCCAGGAAAAATGCATGTAAGGGAGAGACATGGACTTTTCTGACATTGTGTTGGAAAAAGATTGTCTTCTTGTATACTAAGAGGCATGTCGAATGTTGAAAGTATAAAATGTTGCAGTAAAGAATGCTTGTACATTACGTGCAGCATCAGTGAGGGAAATTTTTGAAAGGCAAATTCAGTGATAAAGTACAAAACTCTACTCACAAACAACGCACAGGAGCAGTAGCCTTCCCTCCATGATGGCGTAACTGCAAACACTCTGTAGATACAAGGTTTCAAACAAGTACTTTTCTGTTTGGCTTTTTGTGTGTGGGGTTTAGGTTCAACAGGTGCTTCCGGAGCATCCAAGGCACAGTCCAACTCAAGCACTTCAAAGGTGGGCACTAGAAGAGGTGACAGTATAGAATTCACGGCCCTGCCACCCAAGTACTGGAGGAAAGTGATCACAGAAGAAGAGATGGATTACATCAATGTGAGTGCTGAGATTCTTGAATATTTGCACGATAAAGAAGGTGGCTTTGAGTAGCAGCATGTTGGACATGTCTCTTTAATTGAGGCTCAGAGAGGAGCTTGTCAACTTGACATTTCAACAACGGACCAAACATTGAGGCCACTAGTCTAATCGAACCTCACCAACTCACAAACAGAGACAACTCCTGCCTGACTGCATTTGCCCCCCCCCACTCCTGTAGCAGTGGGGGAAGTATTCGGTGAAACCACACCCACCCACCAGCCCCATGATTGTCCCGACACAAGGACAAAACAAGGAATGTGGAGGCACGTGGCCTAGTGGTTAGGGTTTGTAGCTTCTGATCATAGGGTCAGGGGTTCGAATTCAGCTGGTGGCAGCATGTTGTGATCCTGGGCAAGTCACTTTACCCCTATGTGCCTCTCTCCACCCAGGAGTAAATGGGTACCTGTGAGGGCAGACATGGTTGTGTTTAGCCATTTACGCCGAAATGGCAGCACTGGGCTAGTATACTCCCCAGGGAGCTGAGATGGTTTCAGGAATGTTCAGATGATGTGTGAGCCCAATGTGCCGGGATAATGATAATACAGCGCCTCGGAATGGTTTGCTAGATAGATGGAGCTTTACAAGTGCTTGTTATTATTGTTATTAGTGTGGAAAAAATAGTATGACAGCGATACTGTTTTTTTGACATGCATGTGTTGAATGTTACTGTACTTATGTAAACTGAATAAAGGGACATATACTGCCAATGTACATGTACATACCCACTGCGCATACCACATGGTGTAAGATATCTTCCAACCAACCCTCCCTTGCCAAAGCAAATATTATGGCCAGACTGACATGTACATATCTACTGTACCTTCTTTCACTGGAAGGGTCGACAATTGCAGCTGAGTTTATTTTTCTGGTTTCTTGACAGAGAGGAGGCCCAGAATACATCTAAGAGTGACGCACCACAGTTAGTCAGCGCATCTCAGCTTCCTTCAAGCGTGCATCGCCATACCCGTGATGATGTTAACCCCTGATTTACAGGACCATTGGGTTACCTCGCATCGATGGAGTCAGACTGATGAATCTATTCAATGTTGTAATCCGTGCTATTCATATGATCGAAAAGGGGAGGGGGAGATTTATTGTTTGGTTGAGTTCCTTTCTCATGTGATTGAAACTGACTTGGGAGTAAATAAGCTTTTTTGAGATGTAAGGTTCACTAGAATACCTTGGTTACCTCCAATCTCTCCAAAACTCTATCTATGCAGAATTAGACAAGATCCAACACTCTGTTTCCTTGTCATTTCTTTCCATTGGACTTGGGAAATACACAGAGAGACTATGGTTGCACGGGCTGATGGAAACAAGGGGATCTTGGGAGAATATTTCCCTCCTGAAACAGTTATCCGCTCCTCTGTATCTCATTCGATGCAGCAAACTCCACACTGGGTTCTGAGCTAGTGCAACAAAAATCACGTATTTAGCTTGTATTCTTTTGGCTTAAACAAGTAGCTTGTCTTCATCGGAAGATAGCATCAGAAGACGATTGAGGCTTGTTCCGTGAACATTTCTGACACTCGATGTGGTGTAAGGTTGTACATAAATGTACAGTGCATGCTTAAAAGTTGCATACTTGTGGAGCTCACAGTTCTGTTTGCATGAAGCAGCTTGGGGAGTTCCTGGCTTGAAACCCCAACCTTTTATTCAAAAGTCCCTGGGATTTGGAAAGAAATCCACATTCGAGAAAGATAGGCCCTGGCCACTAGTATTTTCAACGGGGCTCTGTGCCCCATGAAAGTGTGAAGAATGAGTCACAATGCACAACCGCAGATTTTTGGAGACAAATTCACAGAGGTTCCTTTCCCAAACCAAGATAGTAAGAATCTAGTTATCTGTACCATTCTATACATACATATACATACATATGCTACCTCCTTTCAGTGTGTTCAGGCATTCACATTCAGTGAACAGTGCAATATGTCTTCAATACAGGTTTCATTCCATCTGGGGCAAGTGAAGGTCTGACAAGTGACTTAGGGGTTTAATTGGGGGGTATTTGAAGTGAAATTGAGATACCTACATGGGCTATTTTTCATAGAATACACCTGTGAACTGATGACGTCACACTCTCTTTACATGTAGACTTCCTTTGGAGCCAGTAAGAGCTAAGGGTCCTCCGAGCACCATAGGAAAGCGAGCACTTAAACAAAAGTGTGGCGTCATCAGTACAGTGGTCCATTGCAAAGTCCACTTTTTTAGGGGCATAAATGCATCTTATGAAGATAAAGGCATATCACTTGGAGGTTCCCACTTGAAGTTGAATTTGCGGTCACACGTCCAAGAATGGTAACTACAAATATGATAAGTAATGACTACGTGAAAAGCGATAAAAAGAGGACGTCTGTTCTGTTTTATAAATGGATTTAAATGTTTTATTTGTACAAATAATTTACGTTAATATGAAGCATGTGGTATAAAAATATGCAAGTGTTTAATAAAATGCTGTTTAGCTTGCTTGTGTTAAAGCTCTAAGTGTGTGGTTTCTTACTTCTCCTTGACTTTAGCAGCACACATGCAGTGACCAATACATATACAATGTTCTGGATAAATAACAGAGGTCATGCGTTGATGCCTCCTCAGAGGGCAAAGAGATAGACCTGAGTAAACCTCTTGTGCATTTGTAGTCACTAAATTAAAATAACAAAAACAGCCTTGGAGACACCATGGTGACGCCAGCAAGGCATAACCTCCATTGCAAATTACTTCATAGGGAATTGAAACCATTGAAATTGTTACAAAGGACTGAAGTTGGACTACCTTCCTAATTCTGGTAGTCGGTCACAGAAACTAGAATCTCTATTTATGATGCACCAAGCTCTTGCAAGTCCTCACAGGAACTATGGCGACATTCTAAAGAAAACGGTAAATAGGTCCATGTTCCTCAATCATGGCTGCCCTCCAATCCCACGATGGCTCTATCTAAAAAAAGATTTCATTTCATCATTATGCCACAGTTATGACACAGACTTGTGAAACATTTCAAATCTCATCCCCTCGGGAAGTAACCTCCATTTCATTAGAGAGCTATACACAAAACGGCATAATCCTAGAGAGTTGTACAGTACAGTACAGTACATCTATCACAGGAGAAAAAGAATTACTGTCATGAATCAACTCCATCCACGCAGTGTACTCCAACAAAAGCATTACTGTTGCTGCCGGGAACTTGGTTCCATGGTCGGGTGCATTCCCCTCACATACAGACATTATAAAAATGTACTCATTCAGCTGAAAATTACACATGCACACTCCACGCAGGCATGAACCTAACGATTCCCTCAAACTGTCCTGAATAGAGGATTTGCATGGCTGCCATCTTGCAGGCCAGTGCTCTTCTTCCACAGGGAACGTACAAAGGAGGTGTCCCTGTGGCGCAAAAGAACTGCCCTGCAAGATGGCTGCCATGCAAAGCCTTTACAGTATGAAGGTTTTGAAATCTTGCATGCGTGTCTATCTCAAGTTAAATAAACCTGATTTGTACCCCTTCAATGTTTTTTTAGAACTCCAAAAAACTCATGGTTTGCAAATGAGGCATCAAACTTTATGCTAATGGGAAGTAGCTTCATTTAGCTTGAGCCAGAACTTTCGATATGAGAGATGAAGCCTGAGATGGAGACAAGGTAGATATTTGTAAAAAAAACTGTAGGAGAAGGAAACATGGCATCAGACCTCGAGCTCCTGCAAGAGTCTGTTTATGGCCAGCTTGGCCGTGTCCAACAATGGCCAATGTTGTCAGGTGTACAGCTCGTCCATGCTTAGGCCGTTCAGACTGTGACAGCTGTGGGGGTCTTCGTCAGTAGCGTCGTGCTGGTGGAGGCGTGCAGGGGGTTAGTGGGCAGAATCTTGATTGGGAGGTTCCAGACCAGTGTGTCAACATTCAGGCTCTGGGGTCCCTGCCACAGGGCGCTCTCTGATTGGTCGGCCGGTATCACATGATCAGGCAGCGGTTCCTTGGCGGTGATGAATTCAAAGTGGAGCCTCCATTTCAGGCAAACTGAAAGAACAACAAATTGGGCCGAATCCACTTTTCAAACATTAAGACAAACACACATAATTTCTATGAGTACATAAATACAATTTAAACCCCTCATACAAGCAAGAATACCCCTTTCCGTAAGTTATCCTTGATGCTAAACTTTATCAACAATAACCAACCCCATCTTTACGGACCTGATTCCCTATTTCAGCAATACACACTCAAACTGAAGTATGTTGAAGGTCATTCAAGAACACCGATACACAAGCACTAGGTCAGTCCTATAGATCTCTCTCATAGGATGCCATCCTCGTAGGAAAATTACAGCTGCGTGTTCATTACCATCAGGTGTGTGTGTGCACAGAGTGTGTAAATGATCTATACACGCACGTGTTGTTCCAAATACGAAAATTTGAATTTCAAAACGTCAAAGCACATGACAATTTGTAGGACGAAACGTTATTTGAGAGAGACCTATACGTGTGGTCACATGCCAACTCAGGCATGCTGCATATATTCAAGCCCATGTGATTTATCAGGTACTTTATTCTGAAATAACATTGCTTTTTTGAAAGCCCAGCTGGATCACCGAATCCATAACATTTACTACTGTGGCTATAAGTTTAGATAAAGTTCTGAGAGCGGAACTTATGTCGAAAATTCCTGAACAGAGCAACTAGATGCAGGCAGTACAAGTTAGACCCGTGAGATCCAGATACAAAAAACAACTCTTGTTTCTGGGAGTATGAGAACACGGGTTTCCTTTACCTATGTCCGTGATGAACCCCGGAGTGACATGAAGTGGAATGGGCAGGACCATGTGTGATTTGCTCATGTGAAGGCAGAACTCTTGGTGCCGGCCGTGGGAGGACATAGAGACACCCTGATGGGGCTTGCGACGACACTCCTCAGCTATGTGTTCCTCCGACTGAAGGACCACAGAATACTGAAACATGTCAAGAAGTACAACAGTCTAGCACATTAAACTTACAGGAAAGCTTTTAGCTTAGATTTCTGTGGCTGAGCTTGAAAATATATCTCGCCATTACAGCTTGCTGTCATTCACTGAATACTTAAAACATAGCTTAAATCTACTCAAACTAATGTTGGAGACGTCAGCAGTCTTGTGTTGCATGTCTGATTACAATTCAAATGCCAACAATTGTCGTGTTTGATCACACACAGCCCAGATCTCAGCAATTAATGACCTCCTGTCTTCATTGGTAACTTTTCTGCAAGCAGTAGTGTTGAGCAAGAACCATCACATGCCAAACAGGATTGTAAGCACGAAAGCAAGCGGGCAAACAAAAAATTGCGGTGCACCGGTCACAGGCAATATACCTACTGCTTTTTTGCCCGGTAACCAGTTTCTGGTCAGCAAATATGTTCACTGTTCAGTAAACTTCTCAGTTTACAAACTCTATGAAATCAGCCCTTGATCACAGCACACACTTCCTTTTCAACCCAGCCAACCCACCTGTATGCATGGCACCGTGCAGCTTGCTGGAAACTCTATGGTCCCTATGATGTCTTCTCCCAGCTTGTAAGCAGGTTTGAAGAGGCAGAACCGTGCCACGGGGCCCTCCGAATTTTTGATGTTGTAAGAATCTCCAAATGTAAAAAAGTTAAAACAAAACAAATTGTTAAGCAATTCGGCATTGCAAGAATCTCCACAACTTTGATGTACAATGAAACCATCAGATCAGAATCTGTAACCAAATTTTTCTTCTTAAAATTTCAAAAAGAAAAATTAATAGAGCTGAAATCAGGTCTGACGTCAAAACCAATTTGGATGTTTACATTTTTGATCCAAAAATTTAACAATTCGGGTAAATGCTGCTGCAAAGATGTTTGACTGCCAATCGAGTCCGGTTCTGCCAAGTTTGCTTTGATAATGTTCAACCATAACTTTTAGTACCCAACATAACAAAAAGATCTTTTAGGGAATTTGTAGAGACGTGACTCCCAGGATAGCCATGATGTCAACACTTATGCCACAAGTCTGTCACAAAAAAAACCTGATTCCCTCAATCACTAAAGCCATCAAAGGATCTGAAACCACTCAAGAGACAATCTGTGATTGTCTGCAAAAAAACA